CAACTAGCTGTCGTCGGTGAAGGATCTCCCGCGCCGCTCCCACGCGTTTCAGTCTTTTGGATTTACGCGCTCAAAGTTTTGGTCTCGTAGATTTTCTTAGATTCGAGAAAATAATCGTAAGGGGTTTGAAAAAAGGGTTTTGATTGGAGAGAAAGAAATTTTTTGAAGGAGGAGGAGAAGAAGGAAAAGGAAATAGAAAAAGAGAGATAGAAGAGAAAAAAATAAGTGTGTAGTGATTTACATATATAAATATATATTGTTGTTTTTTCACTTCTCTCACACACCCCTTCTATGTCGCGAGGTTGAAGAAGAAGAAAAATATAGGAAAGAAAAATAAAAAAGTGATTGAGTTCTGACGAAAGATTGTGTTCAAATAAAAGAGAGAGAGAAAAAAAATCCACTTTAAAAAAATCCTGGATTCGCGACTGTGAAACCCATCTTCCCTCCACACCCCTCCACCCCATACAACCCTTCTGACACCACTTCCGACACCGCCTCCCGACACGATGAGGACTCTGCAAGGACCCGTCATACTGCTTCTGCTGGGGATCGTCTCCGTGACAGGTGAGTACATGACATGACATGACCTTTTTTCTTTTTTTCTTTTTTTCTTTTTTTGAAGAGAAGAAGGATGGAGGGAGGTAATGAAAGAGGGAGGGAGAAGATCAAGAAAGAGAAAGAGGGTGGGTGGGTGGAGGGAAAGAGGGAGGGAGGGAGAGAGGGAAAAGTGGAAGAGGGAGGGAGGGAAGAAGGAAAGAGGGTTTGGAAAGTAGGTAAGAGAGGGAATAGATAACGGGAGTGTAAAAAGGAGAGAAAGAGGAGGGAAGGATAAAAATGAGGGACCAAGAGAAGGGAAGGAGGGAGGAAAGGATAAAAAAATGGAAGGAGGGAAGAAGGGAGGTTTTAAGACAAAGTAGGGAGGGAAGGAGAGTTTAAGACGATGGAGGGAAGGGAATGTCAAGAGAAGGGAGGAAGGGAGGGTTTTAGAGGAAGGAAGGAGGAAAGAGAGTGTCAAGAGAAGGGGGCGAGGAAAGGGAGGGTCAAGTCGAGGGAGGGAGGGCAAGTCGAGGGAGGGAAGGGAGTGTCAGGAGAAGGGAGGGAGGGTCAAGAGGAGGGAGGGCGTTGTATACGAGCGACCTCTGCCGTGTCTCCTTGCACTGGAGGGGTTTCTCGCTATCTTCCAGGCATTTTGGAGTCTCTCCCTCGCTCTCTCTCGCTCTCCCTCTCTCTGCTAACTACGCACTACGTGAGATTTCCCGCTCTCGCTCTCTCTCCTACTCTCTTTTTCTGTCTGTCTCTCTCTCTCTTCTCTCTCTCTCTCTCTCTCTCTCTCTCTCTCTCTCTCTATCTCTCTCTCTCTATCATCTTCTCTCTTTTCTTTCGGTCTTTTTTTTCTGTCTGGTCTCTCTCTCTGTCTGTCTCTCTGTCTGTCTGTCTGTCTGTCTGTCTGTCTGTCTGTCTGTCTGTCTGTCTGTCTGTCTGTCTGTCTGTCTGTCTGTCTCTCTCTCTCTCTCTCTCTCTCTCTCTCTCTCTCTCTCTCTCTATTTTTCTCTCTTGCGCTCTCACTCTCGCTCTTTCTATATCGCTCTCCCTTCGATTCTCCGCTTTCTGTTTCTCTTCTTTGCTCCTTCGCTTTCCCTCTCTGCCTCCCTTCCCCTCTCTCCCTTCCTCACACTTTTTCGCTTTTTCAATCTTCCTCTTTCATTTATACATGCTTCTTCTGTTTGACTGCCTCTCACTGAGTTCTGAATCTCTCTCTTTCTCTTTCTCTCTCCTTTCGCTCTCCCTCTCCCTCTCTCTCCTTCTCTCGCTCTCCCTCTCTCTCCATCTTTCGCTCTCCCTCTCCTCCTCTTCCCCCCTCTTCATAATTCCTACCTATCAATATATCTCCATCCATCCACCAATCTATCTATCTATCAATGTTTTTTATTTCCTTGCGACCCTCAGTTGTTCGCTCAGAGCAATAACTAACATATTCCGTGAATGCTAATGATTGGTCCGTCCAATGATGATGTTAAATGCTGTTAATCTGTTATGAAAGGGCGGGGTGGGGTGGGAGGTAGAGGGTGGTAAAGAGTGACAGTGAGAGTGGGAGTGAGAGTGAGAGTGAGAGTGAGAGTGAGAGTGAGAGTGAGAGTGAGAGTGAGAGTGAGAGTGAGAGTGAGTGAGAGTGAGAGTGAGTGAGAGTGAGAGTGAGAGTGAGAGTGAGAGTGAGAGTGAGAGTGAGAGTGAGAGTGAGAGTGAGAGTGAGAGTGAGAGTGAGAGTGAGAGTGAGAGTGAGAGTGAGAGTGAGAGTGACGAGGAGTGAGATCTGGAGTGAAAGAGAGAGAGAGAGAGAGAGAGAGAGAGAGAGAGAGAGAGAGAGAGAGAGAGAGAGAGAGAGAGAGAGAAGAGAGAGAGAGAGAAGAGAGAGAGAGAGAGAGAGAGAGAGAGAGAGAGAGAGAGAGAGAGAGAGAGAGAGAGAGAAGAGAGAGAGACAGACAGAAAAAAATACTTATATACATAGAAAAATAATAATATATGTGTAGATAGACAGACAGGCAGACAGGCTTTCAGGCAAACAGGCAGGCAGACATAGATAAAGATACAGGCAGGAGAGAGAGAGATAAAGAGATAAATAGATAAATTGACAGGGAGAGAAAGGGAATTGTGTGGTATCGATAGCCTGTTTCATCAGTTTGTCCATTTCATTATCGAAAATCATGATGATGCATTGCACAGTTGCCAATAACTTTTTTTTTTTTCGTTTCTCTTAACGATGCAGAATCCTACGCTTTGAAAAATAAGTGGTGTTTCTTCCTTCTCTCTCTCTCCCTTATTTTACTCTTCTTTCTTTCCTTAGTTCTTGTTATTGTCTTTATTCTTTTGTTCTCTCTTTCCTTCTTCCTTTCTTTTTTTTATATCTTTATCTTCCCTCTCTATCCTTTTCTCCAACCTCCCCTTTTCTCCCCTCTTCCTTTCTCCTTTCCCCACCTTTAGCTCATCCCCTCTATCTTTAACCCTCCACTTCTTCCCCCCTTTCCCCCCTCTCCTTCTCCTCTTACCTTAACCCCTTCCCTCCCATCCCCTTCCACCCCCACCCCCTCTCCCAACGCCCCCCCCTCCCTCCCCTCTCCTTTCCCCTCTTACCTTAACCCCTTCCTTTCCCCTCCCCCTTCCACCCCACCCCTCCCCCCAACATCCCCTCCTCCTCCCTCCCCTCTCCATCTATCTCCCACCTTAACCCCTTCCTTCCCCTCCCCCTTCCACTTCCCACCCCCTCTTCCCCAACCGCCCTCTTCCCTCCCCTCTCCTTCTCCCTCCCACCTTAACCCTTCCACCCCCACCCCCTCTCCCCAACCCCCTCCCCAACACCCCCTCCTCCTCCCGTGAAGGGGATTTCCAGATTTATCAGCCTGGATTTCACCGGATTAAAGCTATCTTGTGAAAACCCGTCTCTCTACGGTTATAGATTACAACTTCCCGGTTATAAGGCGTATATAAGGGTATAATATAGGGTCTCTTTACCCGTGTACTACTGTATAAGGTACACGGCACTAATGTTCTTCTTGCTTAAGTGTGCGTTTGTCTTCGCTTGGCGGGGCGCGACGGGGGGGGGAGGGGAGGCTTCTGTGCCTTGTTCGTGAGTTGTGTTTTGTTTTGTAGTTGTTTATTTGTTTATTTATTGTGTTTGTTTGTATTGTTTTTGTTTTTTATTCTTGTGTTTTTTTTGTTTTTTATTCATTGTTTTTTATTTGTTTATTTTATTTTTTTGTATTTGTTTGTTTATTTATTGTGTTTGTTTGATTTTTTTGTTTTTTGTTTGTCTTTGTTTTGTAATTGGTTTGTGTTTGTTCGTTTTTGGTGTTTCTTTATGATTGTGTTTTTTTTGTTTGTTTGTTTATTTTTAGCGTTGTTTTGTAATTGTGTTTCTTTTATGTTTGTTTGTTGGTCGGTTTAATTGATTGCTTGCCGGTTTGTTTTCAGATTTTCACTTCTAATTTGTTTACATTTTTATTTATTTGTTTATTAACTTCTGTTCTTTAAATTGTGTTTTATCGCTGGATTGGAAATTATTTTGGTGAAAATTTATCTTACTTTTATCGTGATGAAAGCTATCTATCTTTATCTATTTATCCGTTCGTTACGTTTCTCTCTTATGTAATTACACACACACACACACACACACACACACACACACACACACACACACACACACACACACACACACACACACACACACGCAGACACACCAAATAGTAAAAAAGAGGAAGTGAAAGAGAAAGAAATAGAGAAAGAAAAAGAGAGAAAGAGAAAGAGAAAAAAAGATAAAGATACGACAAAGAGAAAAGAGAGAAAAAAGAAAATAGAAAAGAAGGAAAGAGAAGAGAAAAGAGAGAAAAGAAGAGAAAGAGAAAGAGAAAGAGAAAAAGTAGAAAGAGGAAGAGAAAAAGAGAAAGAGAGACAGAGAAGAGAAAAGGGAAAAAGAGAAAGAGAAAAAGAGAAGAAGAAAGAAAAAAGAGAAAGAGAAAAAGAAAAAAAAAGATAAAGATAAGACAAAGAGAAAAAGAGAAAGAAAAAGAAAAAGAAAAGGCAAAAAAAGGGAAAGAAAAGAGAAAGAGAAAAAGAAAGAAAGAGAAAAAGAGAAAGAGAAAGAGAAAAAGAGAAAGAAAGAGTAAAAGAGAGATAAAGAGAAAGAGAGAAAGAGAAAGAAAAAGAGAAAGAGAAAGAAAGAGAGAGAAAAAAGAAAAAGAAAAAAGAGAAAGAGAAAAAAGAGAAAGAGAAAAAGAAAAAGAGAAAGAGAAAGAAAGAGAAAAAGAGAAAGAAAAAGAAAAATAGAAAGAGAAAAAGACAGAGAAAGAGAAAGAAAAAGAGAAAGAGAAAAGAAAAGAGAAAAGGAGAAAGAGAAAAGGCCAACATCAAAACACACAAGCGCTCGGCCGTAATCGTTACACTTAGCCCTGCCAAGGAGCCACAGCATAGGCCCTAAAAGATTCTCTCCGGCCCCCTCCCTCCCTCCCAGTCCCCCCCCCCTCTCTTCCCCTCCTCCTTCCTCTCCCTCCCCCTTCTTCACTTCTTCCTCTCATTCCTCTCCCCCTCTCTTCCCCTCTTTCTTCCTCCTCTCTCCTTTTCTTCTTCTTCCTCTCCTTCTCTCTTCTCCCCTCCTTCCTCTCCCCCTCTCCCTTTTCCTCTTCCCCTCGTCCCCTCCTTCCCTTCTCCCCCCTCCTTTGCCCCCCCTCTCTTCCCCTCACCCCTCCCCCTTTCTCTATCCCAAGAATGCGAAGAAAAGTTAGGGTCGAGATATATATATTTATTTCTCTCGTTGTCACAGCATCTTGGCGAATGTCTTTGGGGAGGAGGAGGAGGAGGAGGAGGAGGAGGAGGAGGTGGTGGAGGTGGAGGTGGAGGTGGAGGAGGAGGAGGAGGTGTGGAAGGTGGAGGTGGAGGAGGAGGAGGAGGAGGAGTGGAGGGGAGGGAGGAGGTGGAGGTGGAGGTGGAGGTGGAGGTGGAGGTGGAGGTGGAAGGAGGAGGAGGAGGAGGAGGGAGGAGGTGGAGGAGGAGGAGGAGGTGGAGGGAGGAGGAGG